ATATATATATATACATATATACAATATGTAATACATTAAAATTTTCCATATTTTCAACTCTAAGCGACAAATGATGTCCTATTTACTAATCGTACGTTACTGAAGCTACATTGGACGCACATACGTCTGAAATTCGGTCTAACAACACTGTCATCATGTGGCTTTAGTTTTCAGTGAGGCTTTCATGCCTCATTTTGCCGAAGTGTGAACATTATTTTTTTGAGCATTGGATATGTGAATTGTGCCAATAAAACGCAATTTGCTTTGTTTTTTTGCTTCCATTTGAAAAAAAGTGCTGCTGAAACAAATGCTGTCGGAAGCTTATGATGATTATACTCCATCGATTTCAATATGTGAATAATGATTTTGACACGGAAGACGAGGAACATCCAGGCCAGCCAAAAAAATTTAAAGATGAGGAAGTGAAAGCTTTATTCGAACAAAACCCGAGATAAACGCAAGAATTATTAAATGATGATCGATCAACGAATTCCAGATGTTTAAAGACCATTGAAATGATTCAAAAGCAAGGAAATTGAGTGCCGTACGAGATGAAGCCGAGAAACGAAAAGCGCAAAATGATTTGTGAATTGTTGCTTCAAAGACACAGAAGAAAAAATTTTTTGCATTGTATCGTGACAGGTGATGAAAAATGAATACGCAATGATAATCTGAAGCGCAAAAAATCATGGTGCAGGCCAGGCGAACCATCAACATCGAGTAAAGCTAAATATAGGTGGTGCTAAATATCATGCTCTGTATTTGGTGGGATCAGCTGGGTATAGTGTATAATGCGCTCCAACCCAATGAAACAATCACTGGGGAATGTTACCACCAGCAATTGAGCAGAGTATTGAAACAAAAACGGTCAGATTACGTGAAAAGACACGACAAAGTGATTTTCCAGCACGACAATGCTCGGCCACATATTGCGAAACCGATCAAGGAAATGTTAGAAGTGCTTAACTGGGATATATCTTATAACATCCATCATATTCTCCAGATATTGCTCCTTCCGATTACCACCTATTTCAATCGATGTCTCGTGGCCTGTCTAAGCAGCGCTTCCATTCTTATGAAGATATTAAAAAATAGATCGATTCGTAGACAGCCGCAAAAGATGTGTGTCGCTCTTTCGACGTGAAATCTACTTATTACCAAAAAGATGAGAAAAAATAGCGATAAACAATATTTTGAATGATCAATTTATAACCATCTTTTCACAATAAAACTGTATTTTTATTTAAAAATCCCTTAAAATTAATGCACTCTCAATATATGGAGAATGACTTGTAAATTTAATTTATTACTGACATCACGTGAAAATGAAAGCACGCGAAACGCAAAACTTGATATATGATAAATGTATAAATGTTATTTATTTGATTATTTTAGTGTATTTTATACCATTGAATGTCATTTTCTTAAAGATATATTTATAATTAAATCGATTATCACTCTTCACGCGTACAGCGGCTTTTTAGATATGTCTCCAAAAATAATTAAGAATATAAAAAATATTTCATTATACGTAAAATTCACGGTAAAAATATCTTATTAATCAAGTCAACAATATTTTGGAAAAATAATTTTCGTACAAATCTTTCTCTTGCATATCTTATTTAGAAAATACTTAATATATTATAAAACTATAAAATAAAGATGTTCCTACTCTAAATATTATACAAGGAGTGTAGGAGGAATCTCATATGTTTTTTTTCATGAAAATTGATCTACGCAATTCGACAGCTTAGAAAAAAAGAGAAAACAAGAGAACTAATATTTCTTTATTTTCTATTTATGCATATTAAATATTTCTTCATAACTTGTAACTCTCTGTGAAACAATGAGATTTCAAATTATAATTAACAACGATTTAATAATGTAACTCGCTTACATAATCAAAAATGTATTTATTATTTTAATCACAATATTTACTAATATTTATTATTATAATTGTAATGACATAAAATGCACAATGATATTATCCGAATTACATATTATTACTAATTACAAGAAAGACACAAGTACAGTAAAATACGACACAGAAGACATTACAACCTTTAAAAAAAAAGCATTTTTAGACTTCAAAAATTTCAAAAGAACGTCGTAATAAAATGTAACGTGCAAAAATGATTTTTACCGTAGTGAAGCTCTTCAGAGAAAAAACATAAATCTTTATTCCGGCACTCAAAAAATTCGGTTGCATGCTCCTTCGCATCACGTACAGAAGCAATCTTTGCGATTTCACGGGTATATTGTACCATGAACAATTATATTTGCAATTTTGTGTATCAAAATCATTGAGCTTTAATTTAATAACATAAAATACAAATTATTAAAATAGGATTATTTCTATTAATTGATTTATTCTCATAGGTTTAATTTCCATTTATAATATTTGTAAAAATCAAATTGTCTTACATCTTGTCGTGTATTTGTAAGTTGTGATTTATTAATTTCTGGCCTTGCAAATTATAACAGAACAAGTGAACCAGTTGAGTAATGACGAATGCCATGTACCTCATCGTTTCCGCAATTTCTTCTATTTGCATCGCAATCTCGGCGACAAATACAATATTTTAATCTCTCCTGATATTAAGCATGCAAATGCGAGTGACAACGTGACACGATCTATCTCAAAAAGTGCGAGTACCATAAGATGAATTGCAACAATTAGATTTTTTTAAACATTTTTTGTAACTTTTAACATTTATTGTAACTAATTATCAGAAAATAATTAATTAAATAGATAAAAATGTTTAAAAATTCTCTCTCTCCCCTCTCTCTCTTCAGAAAGAATGCAGGCTTCCATTTGTCAAATTATTCATCCAACGACTATTGAACTCTTTCGAATATTTTTATTGTAGCAGAAATAATGATAAATGCATTCTGTTCGTAAATTAAAAGTTTGTAATTTTTTAATAAAGCATTTTCTAATACAAATTTATATGCACTCGCTCTTATTAATACATAAATTATTCTTGGCTTTAACAAACACAGCATGTACATGTTTTAATTAAATAATGCAGCCTCACCATAAAGCTCGCCAGTGTGCGTATACAGAGTCTGCGATCTTCCGACCATATATGTGGTCCAGACTTTTATTCATTATGTCGTGCTCGTTAATAAAGTCTCAAATCGAAATCTGAAGTAGATGATAATTCTGCTCCCTCAATTAGATGATTAAGAGAATGGTAGAGAAATAGCATAAGTGAGGTGTTTTCCATTTGCTGACACAAGTCGACAAAAGTTCTACTATTTAAAGATATCGTTCTATCTTTGTTACTCACTGAATATTAAGAAAGAAAGAATGATGCTTTTGTGTCAGTAAATGGAAAACATTTCAGATCTTATTGCCCTGCCA